CCCCCCAACCCTCCCACCCCCCCCAACCCTCCCCATCCCCCCCATTCCCCCCAACCCTCCCCAACCCCCCCATCCCCCAACCTTCCTCACCCCCCCCATTCCCCCCCACCCCCCCAACCCTCCCCACTCCCCCCCCCCATTCCCCCCAACCCTCCCCATCCACCCCCCATTCCCCCCAACCCTCCCCATTCCCCCCAACCCTCCCCATCCCCCCAGAACACAAAATCCACGCACTTCTCATGGTCCAACACTCTGTTGAGGCAGAGTTGGGTGACCAGGCGGATGGCTTTCTGACACAGGACCAGGTTGTCCTGCCATCTGCTGCTGCTGCTGCTCATGGTTTATACAGCATTCTCACTCCCTGGGAGGGAGTGATGCCTGAGATCTGGGAACTCTCTCTCTCTCTCTCTCACACTGTCTACTACATCTGCACTTGGCCAGTCAGTCACTCCCAAACTCTCCCCCACCCCCCCCTCCCCACCCCCCCACCCTTCCTTACTTCCCACCACGTTAATGCCAACTCTCCACAGACTGACAGCTAATTCCAACAAGATGTGCTGTGAGTGCCCCTGGTATTGTGGCATTGTGATTGCTCAGACAGATCTTTGCTGCTTGACTGAGGCGTGGTTCCCAACAAGGACCCTCCTTCACCATTCAATTTGGGATGAGAGACATGACTTTAACCCAAACTGTCTGCTGGAGGACAACCTTCATTGAATAAAGACAATCCCTATTGATTTTCCAATCTGACTGTGTTGCTATGAATTGCCTTTATTTTGAAGAGCTGAAGTTGAACAGACATTAGTTGTTCGCTGACCTTTCCTTTTGCTCCCCCCGACGCTGAACATTTTTTCTCCTTTTACTTATTCCAAGTTTGACACAAAGTGCAATTACCAAAAGTATCAAGAGCATTGCGTTGTAAGGATTAACCCGTTAGATTGCGGCTTGGAGCAATTGATCCAAATATCTTATGAGAAAGCATCAAAGTGAATAGTAATAATAATAATAATAATAATAAGATTGTTCTCCTTAGAGCAGAGAAGATTAAGGGGAGATTTAATAGAGATGTTCAAAATGATGAGGGGTTTTGATAGAGTAGATAGGGAGAAGCTGTTTCCACGGGTATGTCAGTAACCAGCGCACATAGGTTTAAGATAATTGGCAAAAGAACCTGAGAGGAGATTAGGAGAAACTTTTATACACAGAGAGTTGTTACGGTCTGGAACGCATGGCCTGAAAGGATGATGGAAACAGATTCAATAGCAACTTTCAAAAGGGAATTGGATAGGGACTTGATAAGGAATAAATCACAAGGATATGGGGAGAGAGCGGGGGAGTGGGACTGATTGAGTAGCTCTTCCAAAGAGCTGGCACAGGCACGATGGACCGAATGGCCTCCTTCTGTGCTAAAATATTCTATGATTCTATAATATCTTTGCATTTGATCACAGCACCTTTCGGATTGGGAGAACATCTCAAGGCACTTTACAGGATGTCCTGTAAAGTGTATTTTATAGGCGAATGCAGCACACACCAATGTGTAGGTACAATTTGCACACACAAACCGTCATGAAACAAATGACCAAGGGATGGTTGGCCAGGAAGAAGAAACTCCCTTCTCTTTTTGAATAGTGTCTTGCCATCTTTAGCGTCTACCTGAACAGACTAGTTTAACATCTCGTCCAAAGGACAGTGCCTCTTCAACAAAGAAAACCACTCATTCATTACCTCCCACCACAATTATTCTAATGCCCTCCTCGACAGTCTCCACAGTACAACTACCCACAAATCTGATTCAGAACTCTGTTGCCTGCATTCTCACCCAAACTAAGCTCCATACCGCCATCAAACCAGTCCTCACCAGGCTCCACCGACTGCCTATCACACAACGGATTGATTTCAAGATCCTCTCACTCATCTACAAATCCTTTCCCGCCCTTGCACCTCTCTACCTTTCTGATCTGCTTTCTTCCCACTCCACTATGCACTGCCTCTGCTCGGCTTGCTCTGGCCTCCTCTTGACCCTTGTCACTTCCGCTTCACATCGGCAGCCGTGCTTTCAGCCCCAGTGCCCCGAAACTCTGGAACTCTCCTCCCCAATCGCTCATACGAGCTGCCATTCAGACAAGTTTGCAATCCGCTCTCTAGACTAATCCAGCCTCGACGATACTGCAGGTTAATATGTTCACAATGATGCTCTGTGATCCTCTGAGTTTTACCTGGGGTCCAGTTAAACCCTTCAGAAAATTTTTCTACTGCTTATTGTTCAAATATTTCAACTGCTGCACTCTGGAAAGCAACAAAAACAAAACGCGCTGGGGGCATTTATTATGTCAGAACAAGTGTATAATACACAGTTTCTGTAATGAAAGAGTTCAAGCTTGCATTTGATTTTTCTCCCCTCTTTCTGTGCTCTGGGGCGAGAGCAGCCTTGGTTCTAATCTTTGTCCTTTTTCCAATCCATCTCCTCCCCCTCCCCCAAGCCACCCCCAAGACAAGTTAATTACAATAATCCTTGCATGTGACACAGCGCCTTATCACGTCAAAACCTCAAAGCACCTCAGAGTTTCACTGACAAGTGTGGTGATTGTATATTTTTAGGCAAACACAGCAGCCAATTTGCACGCAGCAATGTTCCATAAACAGCCACAAAGTGAAGTGATTTTTATCCGGAAGATTGTTGGCCAGGACATTGGCAGAAACTCCCTTTTCTTTTGAAAAGCCTTGGGGGAATCTTTAACATCCACCAGAACAGGTAGATGGGTCCTCGGTTTAACGTCTCAATCATCTTGCTAAAAACATTCCACAATCAGAGGCCCACCCACAAAACCTTTTGAGTTTTTCATGTGGGTCAGTGTGTCTGGCGCAGTGGTAGCACTTCAATGCAGTGCTGCATGGGGTGTTGCATTGTCAGAGGTGATGTCCTTCAGGTGAGACATTAAACCGGGGTCTCATCCGTTGAGAGGTGGATGTTAAAGATCCTGTGACACTATTCGAAAAGAGAAGGGAGTTTCTCTCTCCCGGTGTCATGGACAACAATCCCCCCAAGTAAAATTGGTCACTTACTCCATGGCTGTCTGTGTGACATCGCTGGTTCAAATCCTTTTCAATATTTATCTTAGCTGCGGCTTCACCGGGAGGCTAAATTAGCCCCAGTGCCAGGGAGGAGAAAATTAGCCAGGATTCCTGCTCCTGGTATCTTTACTACGCCCCCTGTTGTCTGGATGTGTATCAGTGTGTGTGGGTGGGGGGCAGCCGGGTGGAGAGAGGTCAGGCTCAGTTTTGGCACAATCTGCAGTCGAGTGTCTTGTCAACACCCACGTCAAGGCTCACACACGTGAACAATGGCCACTCAGGCGGCTACCAAGGGGCAACCAGCTACTGTTGACCTGCACCAGCAGGCGGAGGGCAGAGAGGCGCACGTCATTCTAAAAGTAACCAGACACTACACTTTATTAAAAAACAGAACATTGCAGTATTGCATTAAATTGTCTATCAATGTCACATCCAGTTATTAATCCTCAGGCTGACAGACACTCACTGCTAAATTTAACACAAGGCCTTCAGTGCTTTGTGGCCTTCCACATTTCGTGATGAAGCAAGCACTTAGATCGCCCACAAAATGCATTCACTCCACTTTGCGGGGTGTCCTGTTGAAAGTGCTTTGAGAGTCTTCCTGACATGGAAGGCATTGTATCAAACGTAAGGATTATTATTATTAATAATTAGTAGTAGTAGTAATAATAGTAACAATAATAATTATGATTACTATTATGCCATTATAGTTTAAATCGCCCGTAGAGGTAATTTCCAAATAGTTTTCAGTGATGGTCAGCTAGACCAATAACACTGCCACATAACATGTGAATGGATGTTACTTTCCTTAACATATTTGAGCTTGCTAAAACAGCTACTTATTCTAAATATACATTTATATTTTGTTCACCAGGTATGTTGTCAATCCATTTCTGAATAGTCTTATTAACAGTCCCAGTTGCACTAATGATTATAGGAGCTATGTATCAACTGTATCAAATGTAAGGATTATTATTAATTATTATTATTAGCTAGAAAATTGCCAGTGCTTTTACAACAACAACAACAACAAGATTCCATTTATTGAGCGCCTTTCACGTCGGGAGGACGTCCCAAGGCGCTGTACAGTTAGGTCAGGACCCGAGCATTGGGGGGAAATGGTCAGGGTGAGGGGAGGGAAGGGAGGGAGCGAGGAGTGGGTAGAGAGTCGAGAGGGGAGCTGAAGGTTCGGTCAAAGAGAAAGGACTTGAGACCGGCCTTGAAGGAGGAAAGGTAGGAAGCGGCGAAGGCACTGGGAGATGGAGTTCCAGAGCCTCGGGGCTGAGAGGCTGAAGGCCCGGCCACCGATGGTAGGGCGGTTGGGGCGGGGGATGTGGAGCAGACCGGAGCCAGAGGAACGGAGGGTACGGGCAGGTAGGTAGGGGGATAGTAGGTCAGAGAGGTAGGAGGGAGCGAGGCCGTGAATGGCCTTGTAGGTGAGGATGAGGATCTTGAATTTTACCCCATGATTGACATTGGACCATCCCCATTATCCCTCCTCTACTGACTCGTCACGGTGATCACACCATAGGGGGAGAGCTTTGTCACTAGTGTAAATGCCAATGTGCCCCAAACTCCCCCTACCCTTAGCTGTGAGACCATTTTACTTTAAAGCTTACATTTGTGGAAATTTCTTTGATCAAGTCTTTATTTGGAAGCTTTTTTTAAAAAAAAACAAGGATAAACTTGCAAATTGAGTCTCAACTGAAAATGTTTTTGCAATGTTGCGCCATCTTAAATTATAAGGTATAATTAATAAAAATTACAGGCTAAGACTAGATGAAATTCCAGGTCTTCAAGTGTGTAAACAACCTGCTAGTTCCTTTTAACTCTCAGTCGGTTTGTTTCCTTTTACCCATTATTTATTTTCATTGCCGTTAAGATCACTCCAATGCCGTGCTGTGAAGTGCACTGCATTGTCGGAGGTGTCGTCCTTTAGATGAAATATTAAACCGAGGTCCCATCTGCCTTTTCAGGTGGATGTTAAAGATGACCTGGCACTATTTGAGAAGAGAAGGGAGTTTCTCTCTCCTGGTGTCCTGGTCAACAATCCCCCCCAAATAAAATTGATCACTCACTCCAGGACTACCCAACCCATTAGGGCTTTGGCCTTAACCCTAAATTGGAAGATAAGCACTGCTGAGTCCATGGGCAGGTTCAAATATCTGATCCTCGGGCACAATTTCAGATAGGGTTGCTGTAGCCGGGACAGCAACAACTTGCATTTAAAATAATGCCCTTCATGCAGGGTAGCATCTCAGAG